GTAGTTACTCAGCAAGTGTATTCATGTCATTATATCTATTATGTCCAAATTTACTTGATGTATTTATGTAATACAGTTGTAAATGTCATTAAGAAATAAAAAAAAAATTCAATAATGTGCTATATTTAATTTTATTTGTAATCATATTAGCCGAGATTAATTTACATTGCACCTGTGGTCCGCCCTACAGACATCTTATTGTAACCTAAAACTTTTTAATTCACGAAAATTCTCACCAATGGGGCATTTTATCTTCCCCACATATATTATTACAGTAAGGCTTGAAATCGGTTTTGTACCAGATATAAGCTCCTTTCATGCTCAAATACCATGAATGAGGTATCGATGGATTCAGAATTTCACGGTGGGTTAGCGAATAGTATTCTCCACTTCTGTTTTTCTTTCTAAAATAAATAAAGTCGATACAGACATTTTGCTAGCCTTCAATACTAGAACGGTAGGTCTGTAGATTGATAGGGACAAATTGGACCTTGAAGATTTTGATGCGTACAGCAAGACCCGGATAGTTCCTCCGGAACTTGCGTTTTTAAGCCCAAAAACTTACTATTTTCGACATAACGCAAGGCGTAGGGTTCGCATCCACACAACCTGACGTTAATTGTAGTACTGTCATTGAATCCATGTCTCATTTCGTCGAATTGAGGTCTCTATGATCGAGAGAGGAGGAGATTATATTATTTATCGATGGTGTTTTTGATCGGCAAGCAATATCATCGTTACTTCTTTACCAAATCTCAAGATTGAGTCACCAATTTCGAAGGCTTCCTTCCCCCTTCAGGCGGGCAAAATACTCCAATCACCCCGAAAATTCAGGCAAACAAGTTAAGTAACAAACCTTATTGGCGAATAACTAAAAAATTACACATTTTTTTCTTGATTATATCGATTATTATATAAACGATCACTAAATCCCCTACAAATGGGGAAAAAAATCATCGAAATATGACAATTTTCAGAAATGATACAGCTTACTGAAATTTGTAAACATGTCGCTCCGAACAAAAATGAAGATTTAAATTAATTTTTGTTTCCTTTGTCGATTATATTTATCAATAAAGTAATAATTGATTTCTTTATCTTTTGATACGTTGCATTATTTTATTTTATTATTAATTTGCCATTTGATAACAATACGCTGTGCTAAATTTTCGCACGGTTCTACAAGTTAAATTAATTTATTTAAATGAGTACTAATTACTCATTCGCTTTCCACTTTCATCGTTTGATAATTTAATCACGAAATCAAGAAGGCCTGGAAAAATATGAGACAATTGTCCTATATTGGGGTTGAGGTCACGCAAAAAGGCCCGATATTTTTGTAGGTCACGGTTTTTTCAAAATTTTGTGACCAAATTATCTTCATGAGTTTTTTTAGTACCTCATCAAAGGCTACCTGATCTCCTGATAGAAAACAGCCCATTGTAAGAATTATCGTAAATAAAAAAGTTCTAGGCTACAATAACATTCCAAAGTGTTATGCGCATGTTTGACCCTTTCAGTTGACAGAATGACTAATTCCAATTTAAACTTTTTTGAGTAATGTCTGTTTAGTGGTATTTCTGGTTGGAAAATTCATCTATGCATACAGTGATTAAGTTGATTCCAGTGTAGGTGATTGCAGTGTTAGAATATAGAACTGTGAATAAAGGTATTAATTTCATCATTAGAAATATTACTAAAATTTACAATCAAAAATGTTAATATTGGAGTAGTCATTCTGTCAACTGAAAAAGTCATCATTAGGAAATTCCAACTACTCAGCCTCGTATCTCTATAATGCAGATAAAGAATAAAATAACCCGTCAACGTTTCGCCAATCAAAAAAAAAAAAAAAAAAAAAAGATAGGCGAAAATATGTAATTGCTAACCACAATAAATAAATATACCGCAACAAGATACAAATAATAATAAAAAAATAAATACAAAAGGTAATGCACATCAAAGGTAGGTTATCACCAAAAAGCTGCTGATCGCGCATGCAAAGTTAAAAACTAAACAAATTAGTGAGATTTATGAGACTTACTAAGATATCCAACGTTTAAAAACACAATTTATTCAAATTACTATTGCCTTTCTTGCAATAATCATATGACTCCTATGCAATACGAATTTCCTCAAATATCTTTCTCTTAGAAAAATTATTCTTTTCTTTTTGTAACATTCGAACATTATTAAAATTCATGTTTAAATATTTTTGAGTGCTGACGTATGGCTCCTTTCCGTTTATATCATTATATGTTTGAAACGTTTCACCAATACACGTTACGTATTGGAACAATGCACATATCCAATTTCATATATTACATCAGATTGTTGCTCTGTTAATATTTTATCTATAATAGAGGTATAAAACTTCATTCCTTTCCTAATTCTATTCAACAACTTAAAATCATAAACATAAAATTAATAAAAAATGCTATTTGTCTTACCTATTACATCTCTTACCTGTCTTGTCTATTTGTTCTGCAAGGCCCTAGATTTAAGGTTGAAGTAATGTGATCTTGGGCTTCTTTTCATTACCTGCATAATAACCGTATGAATAAAATTATCTTTTTCAGATTATAAAGAGCCATCGCCTCTCCTATGACTATGATTTCAAATTCAAGTCCTCTGTCCACTCTCTTATCGCAAGATCCAAACCTTCTAACCTTTATATCCCTCTTCACAGGTCTGCCTCTTTTCAAAACTCCTTCGTTGCCCGCTCCGCTAAGTTCTGAAATTCTCAACCTATAAAAATCAGTCGTGTTCCTTCCTTATCCAACTTTTCAGACTAAGAATAAGACACACCAATCTTACTCATTAGCAAGCAGCCACGACCACAATGTCAACACTGCAATAATACAGTTACAGTCAGCCACAAGTTACAGGAATGTTATTTTTACATATCAAATCTAAATAATCTACGACTTACATCTCCAATATCAAACATTTTAAGTGATGACGAAGACACTATAAAGTTAGTGATAGATTTCTTAAATCAAACAATTTGTTAAATAAAATCTAAAATAGTTTAAAAATTTAATCCAGTGATGCAAGCGTTGATGACCTGGATGTTTTACGTCTTTGAAACCCCAACAAACAAACAATAAGAAGGAAGAATGAAGAAGAGAAGAATAGTTGTATTCTTCCCAGAATCAACCATTTACCCACAATTATGAAACAATAAGAATATGGCCAACCACTTATTAAGTTGTGTTAAAATTTAGTGACTTGTTTAAAAATTAGTGCTTTCTTAATATTTTTTTTCTACCTCTTATAAACTTATGAACTTGTATATATATTTTTCATATCAGGTCGTTCCTGTTCTACAATATAATGTTTTACTCATAAAGATGCTTAATTTATTTATTTTCTTTTTTATTTATTTATAAATGTTTTAATATGTACTAAGATGGAATACATAAATGTTTATTTCTTTATATTTTACTCTACTTTATTTATTTTTACTTGGTGTTCATCTATTAGAGGAATTTATTTTTGATTTTCTTCATGTATCTTTTAATCCTTTTTATTTATTGTTTTCTTTATTTATTTTTTTTTGTTTGTATATTTTGTTAGTTTCATAAAGTTTTTTTTTATTCAATGTAACTCTTTTTATTTAATTTAGTTCTTTTGAGCAGAAGTATTATTTTTGTTATTGTAACCTTAGGGGACTTCGTCCCAGAATAAAGTTATTTTTTTATTTATAAAATTAATTAGAAAAATTAATAACACATATAATTATTTATGGCTATAAAACCTCTCTACTCGAATTTAATTTTTTTTTTCAAATATATATGACGTTCAAAGAAATACATAATTTTTACAGTGGTTTTAATGTTGTTTTTTTGTCCCAGTTAATAAAATATATTCCAAATAAAGCTAAATACTCTTTGCTAGTAATCCCCAATCTTTTCCCACCTGAAGGGATATTCAATGTTGGCTTTATTTTTGTTTTCGTTTATTTTTTATTCTTTCAATTAATTTTTATTTTATTTTAATGTATGGATGTTTCACACTTAGCTCTAGTACTCATTGTCCTTAAGTAAAGCAGAATTTCTTAATCAAAACAGATTTCATAACAAAAAAATCACGTACACTTAATTTCAAAATAAATTATCTCTAACCAAACATAAAACTTTTTTTTTAAGTATACATTTACAATTTTGATGTTTAAAGAAATACATAATTTTTATGGTGAATTTAAATTTTTGTTTTTATTTTGTCACTATTTAAACATATTTTTCAAATATAGCTAAATCTTATAAACCATAAATCTCCAATATTTTTCTACTACCTGAGGCCATATTTAGTTTATACGTTTGCAGCCAAGTTGAGTGCATCAATTGCTTTGTGTTTTTTCTTGGTTGATATTGTTAATAATGATGTAAATATATAATTTTAACATTAAAAAAGTATTGTTTGCATTCTTAATTAAAATAGACTCCTCTTTAATAGTGCATCAAAATAAAAAAATTCTTTATAAGACATATAAATGCTAAAGATAATGTGATATTTGGCTTATATCCGTTGGTCAGCGTTTCATAATTTGCAGAAAATTATTATAATGTAATTATCAGAAACAATAAAATTAGAAACGGGCGCAATAGCACCTGACTTGCGAATGGATACGTCAAATATTAAATTACTAACTTTATGATTTTGTTTGTGTACTTTAAAAAATAAACAAAAATTGAGAAAAATGATGATGCAAATGAATTTGAAAACATTGTTAAAAAGTTATGACATCAATAATGACTATTTTAAAAGAATATACGTCATGGCAATAGCTGTAACAGGTTAGAATAGGCTGGCATGATTTTACCATCGGGCACATGTGACGTCACGTTGGTACAAGTTTACACTGGTACAAGTTAAATCCTTTAAACGTAAATGAGTTATTTAATAATTTACTGACGTTTTATATCAAACAGTATGAGAATTGCGGAAGCATTATCTGTAAAATGGACAGTACACAAAGATACAATGCCAGGGGGCTGATGAGACTTGAGACAATAGCCTTTGGTCCCGTATATGAAATCGTATTGTGGTCATGTCCCATTGACATCCCGTAGAGACACAATTGATCTCAATATCCCCTATTACAAAGATTCTATTATCTGTTTGCCAACCACCTGTTCCCAATAAGGGGTTGATTCTACACTAAAGTATCTACAAGGTTTGTGATAACGGATAAATTATTAATGAAATAAATGTATGTAAAAATACAATGCTTAAGGTTTGAAAAAAGGTAGGCTAATATTGAATATTGGCAGTAGACATTGTGATAAGTGATGCCCCAATGCGAGAGGTGTCTTGGTCTTGCGCAAGAGTATCGCAACAGTCTTGCAGTTACCAATTAGCTTATTACTACAAAGATATTACTGTAATTAAATGTAAAAGTATTTTGATTATACCACTTCTTTACATATAGTAACTAAAATTGTCAAGTATTAGTAACTATTGTGCCTTAATTTTTATTCAAAAAATCGATTTTTTTTTTACCAGTCTTGATCTTACAATAACTAGGCGGTCTTGGTAAGACCAAGACCGATTTTGGCAACACTAATTGTGGTCTAAGCTAGGGTTCCAAAAGAGATAAAAATATGCCAACTAGTATGCAATAAAAAGACGTGCAGTATGTAGCAACATGTGCAGCCATAAAACAAAATATCCATACACAATCTACAAATATTCAATAATCAAACTAAAACCTTTAATTACACTGATGTACCTACAAAAAGTTCTCAATTAAAAAATAAATCAGAAGGATTAAGGATTAAACATTAAATAATAAATAAAACGGAGAAAGATTAGTAAGAGCCATGTTTTGAATTAAATAACAAATGACTAAATTTGTTGAGATAATATTCTATCTTTTGCTATGTTTTCATAATAAAAAAAAATATTTGTCTACCTCAACAGACGTGATGTGAGCAAATATCCACCAAATATATCGAATTTATTTAAAAAATAGATGCAAAAAATTATTTTTTCATGAGTTTTAAATTTGTTTTCATATTTCATTTAAATGTCAAATCAATATTTTAGTATTGGAAAAAAACTGGCATCTATATTAAGAATTTAAAATAATGATAAATATTACCACTTTTAAACTCAGTAAGAAATAAACTTAAATTGATATTATGTTTGGAATTTAAAGAGAGATAGAAAAAGAGAGATAGAAAGCGGGAGGAGGGGGGGGGGGGAGAAATAAAAATCTACATTATAAAAAGTCAATTATTGAAGATAAAATTATTTCGTTGATTTTTTATTTTTATTTTATTTGTTTTGTTAATTGAAAATGAACCTACGAATTTAATCTGGAATTCCTATGTTTTTAAAAAAAATCAATTTGAAACGTTCAAAATACGCAATTACATGTATTTATAGTCAACTATGCAAAGTAAAAATTGATTATTTATATTTAAGTACCCTAATTCGTAAAGATATCCGATCTACAGTTTAAAAAAATGGATACAAAAAAAATATGCAATTGCATAATAAGGCGGGTAATAATGTTTAACGAGAATCAATGCAATTTAATATAAAGTAAAGAAAAAAAAAATATGAAGTGCATTCATTATGTAATAAGGAGGAAGATTTCATGTCACATAATATTTTCCTGTTTTGGATATAAGTAGAATCATACAAAATATTATTTGGGTAGTTCTGAATACTAGACACGTATTTAACATAGAGACCACAGACTGATCTATGGGGTGGGGAGGGGCTTTCGGAATTAGACCCTCCTCCAACCAAATGGTGTAGTGTAACCATGTCTTATGAAAAAAAAAATCTCTAAAAGTATTATTGTTGTAGGACTTGAAGAATCGCTTAAACAGCTTTTCTTATGGGTACTTAGTTTCTTTCTTTTTCTCCCAGAGAAAAAAGTATATAAATAGGAAGCTCCCAAAAATTAAATCCTGGACCCGTTAGTGTTTCGAACTAATTATATATGGTTTTTTGTTGTTTCTAATTTTAAAAAAACAACAACAAATGTATTTAACAATAATATAATAACCGACTGTTGATAGCAACCATAATGAATATTGGTATGTTAATCAATTTCGAAATCTCGAAATAAAACTGAAGAATTCCTTGTATGGAAATTATATTTTTTAGAAATATCTCAATAAATTACCCGGAACATATAATGAAAGAGATCGTCATATTTTTATTTTTTAAAAAGATCAACAAATTTCACTTCTATCAATGACTGTGCAAATCAAGTAATTGTGTTGATACATGCTAAAGTGCCTAGCTCCCCCCCGTTATAGCATTTGTCAAAATATTTGCGCTCATAAGTGCTTACTTCCCTACCCGCAGAATAAATATTTTCAAATTAGTTCTGTACAACTGTTAAGTGTGTAAAGGGTGAGGGATCTTTCTTTATTCATATCAAGGCGTATTCGTTGACAGTAAACTTGTTCCACTGTGAAACCATTTCAATCATGATAACGTTAAGAACTCGATAATCATAGACATCTTAAATTTTTAAAGAATCTAAAACGGTGTTTACCGAATAATATCTTTCATTGGCTGTTTTAACAGACTTTTATTTATATTCAAAAGATCATCACTCAAGCTAACAAGTAAATAGACAATAACATTTATTGTTTCACAGTTCAAATATACTTTTATTTCTTTTTATCATATTATTCCTGACAAATGATATTTATTGTTAAAAAATTTTTATTTTTACCTCAATTTATTTTGTTATGTTATTTCACAATACGGTATATTTAAAAATATATATATGTTTATAATAAAGACCCGAAAAATTCCACCCTAATGATCTGGGTAGAAGGAAAATCATTCCCGAGAGTGGGAAAATTCAAATACTTCCGCTCCACAATAAGCTCAATGAATGATTAACTGGCAGAAATAGACCAGCGTACAACTAGCGCAAACAAAGCTTTCTTCTCTGTTTCGAAGGTATTGAAGTCCCGAAAAATCTCAAACTAAGGGTGTACAATGCTATAATAAAGCAAATCTAATATATGACTGTAAGACCTGGACACTAACCAGTACCCTTGAAAAAAGTGTTGAAAGATTTGAGAGGAAAATTCTCCGCACCATGACCGGAGCGATCTGGGATCAGAGTACTAACACATGGAAAAGAAAGACCAATAAAGAACTGGTCAATAAATATCCCATTATATGAAGGCACACAAGATGTGCGAGGCATGTAGCTCGTAGCATAGTAGGAACAAGTATTAGGGCTACAAGAGTTCATTCGTACTATATATACAAAAAACAGGAACAAATGATCAATAATGAAAAAAATATACTTATATAGATAGATAGATAGATATTTTATTTGTTTTAAGGGGGTTCCCCATACAAAAAGAGCCTAGCTTGGCTATTGTACAATAATATGGTTTAACAAATTTACTTACATATAATTTAAATATAAATAAAATTTACAATATTTAACGTTTAGAATGGTTTTCACAAAACATGAATAACAATAAAAATTAAAAACATAAAACGATTACTGCATAATATTGGTTACATGAACCAGTTACTATGATAGAATACAAAATAAAAATATTTATAAATATAAACAAAATATTACTCTTAAGATGAACTAAAAACAAACGCTTAATATAACATGGGCTATGACCAACAATTTTATGTATGCACTATGTGCACTCCAATCATATAATAGTAAACTTAATTTAATTTATCTATACAATCGATATTCAGTATGGATTCGACGTTGCGGTTATCAGTAGATTCTGAGATAAAGTTTTGAAGGAATTTTTGTCTATAGTCATTGTATGCTGGGCAGTGAAGGAGAATGTGATGTTGACTATTGTAGATAAATTGGCTGCATCAAATAAAGGTTTCTTGAGACTCAATCGAAAATGTTCTGTTTTTTTGCATGGATTCTGAAGTGTTCTGGGTTTGCAACTCTTAATTGACTAACACATCTCAATTTCTTTATGTGGACTTTGAATGTAAGATACGTTTCAGGATCGGGAGCATTGTAACTGCATAGCATTCTGTATAAAGGGTAGTTAGTGGAGTTTAAAGTTCTTTGTATGTCGGCTGAGAAATAATAGTTGTGTGCTTTTTCAAGGATGTCGTCTTTGTATCGAAGAAGTCCGTTTCGTAAATATACTTATATAAAAATAAATAAAAGTAATCTTCTTATACACATTCATACCGATTAGCAAAATCGAACTCATCTTTAGAAGGCTTTGAGTGCTTGATCATCGTGCTCATGAGAATAATTATATTGTATAATATTTATAAACTCACCACTTTGGTAGTTGATTACATTATTACTATGTATAGTCTAGACCAGGAGTTTCCAAACGTTTTGTCCAGCAAGCCGTATTGAGAACTCCACTAGGTCACGCGTACTATATCGAGACTTTTATTAAGTCTCATGGTTCTCAGGGAACAAAAATATTTATATATCTATTGAAATTCAAACATCGATCTAACGAACGCATCAATACGTCGATTTTTATTTCATAATTATTTTTTTTATGTTAGGATCTAAAGGGGTTAACGTTCAATCGAAAAGTGTAGTAGAAAAGTTTTTTTTTTAATTTTTGTACAGGGCTATACGGAAATTATGGAACTAAAAGAAATTATTCATTTTTCATCTATTACTCTTTAACGGTGTTTCCAAGCGAAAAAATCTTTTTAATTTATTTCTATAAATGTCACTTCAGTATTGAAATGATCAAACAAAAAAAAAATGATGCGATAAATGCTGTAATAACTAATCTTTTTTTTTTTTTTTTTTTTTGATAGTTTATTGAATGATGATACAATCTGCCTCATTAAGAGCAGCAAATATTATACCTACAAGAGTTCATGCATACAATAAATACAAAAAACAGGCAATAAATATAAATAGTTAAAAATATATACAAAAATAAATAAAAATAATCTTCTTATATACATTCATATCTATTAGCAATATCGAACGCATGTTTACAGGGTTTTGAGTGCTTGATTATCGTGCTCATTCGAATAATCATATTGTCTAATATTTTTAACTCATGCGAAGATATAAAGAAAATTAAAACGCATCCGTAACAGTACTGTCCTTCATTAACAAGTTTGATAAACAATTTTTTTTTATGAGGCGCTCCGCTAAGCCGCCATAAAGATTTTTAATGACGCAATTTATTGAACCGATAACAGAGGAGAAGGTTATTTAGCACGAGGTGCAATAAAACCGCTGGCGGTATCAAGATACGAGTGGCAGTGTGTGAATGGAAGCGACAGATGCCGGCGTCTAGGGCCCTCGACTCAGGCATACGTCCACCAGCTCATCTCTTTGTCTACGATACCGCGTTGGCTCTATCCTTCAAAAACCGCCCGCTCTGGGAACAAATATAAGTGAGTCACCAATTCACTAAATAGTTCCATTTCTTTTTTTTTTTTTATTCTCGTTCTTCAATATGATCTACCAAATAACAGCTCTAGTGGGGAGCTTTTTTTTTAAATGAAATTGTTAACACCCGTCTAAAACTTGGTGAATGGCTTCATCTTATCATAACTTACGAATTTTTTTATGTCTGCAAAAATTCCCAAAATTCGGGCGTTTTCTCATTAAATTAATTAATTTAATTAGGTTTTGAAAACTCATAAATATCCATTGCTTCCCACTTGAATCGTAATTTGATTACAAAATCGAACAAGTTGGTGGCCTACAAAAATATTTAGCTGTTTGACCTATATAACCTCCTTATTTTCGCATGTTGGTGGCGATAAACTGCCTAATAATTTTGTAGGCCACCTTTGTTCTAGATTTTGTTATGACATTATCTTCCTATTCAAGTGGAAAGCAAATGGGTGTTTATGAGTTTTTAGTACTTAATTAAATAGACGAAGTTTGCTGATCTCCAGAATGAAAACGACCCAATTCTGAGAATTTTCGTAGCGAAAATTTTTTAACTTATGACAAGATAAAGCTATTCACGAAGTTTTAAGCGGATGTTAATTATTTGATAAAAATAGATATGTACCATGTACAAAATGTTGCGAGGGACTTAGCACAAATATACGACATTGTATGTAAAGGTATTCAACAAATTTTCTATATATGCCATTTCTTTCCAATATTAGTTCGGGAGCCGGCTTGCAAAAATATCCCAAATTTATACTAGCAATTGCAAATTTGATTTATCCAGTTCACTCTTATTCGAAAGTCTTATGTCTAAATATTTTTATGTACGAAAGCTGAAAAAACAGAAGTTGCACAAATAACGTATTTAAGGTAAATATAGAAACTTATTCCAACACCGAGCAACATAGCAACTGATTATCATGTACTTTATTTAATTTTTCATATTTCTCTTGAAAATGGTACTACGTTTTTTTGGTTCTGAGGACTTGGAAAAGGAAAACACCAAGGAGGAATTGACGTCAGGAAGTAGGATAAAGCCACTTCAACTCGGTGTACCATAGTGAAACATGTGAACGCCTGGGGATCCCGAAGATGTATCTTATGAAACAGTTCATGAGATTCTTCAGTCTCATTTCTATACTGGCAGATAGCCCTCCATACACCAAACAGCCGTAGTCGAAGTGGGGAAATATAAGGGATGTTACAAGGAGCTGTCTGTTTTTTAGAGAAATACAATCACGGAATCTTTGGATTGGAAAACATTCTAGATCTTTTCCCGCCTTGACCAGCGTTCTCCATCTCTGTCGATCTTGGGCTATTTCTTTCCAATTACCTGCATGCAACACTGTTGCATCTTAGTTGGTTCGATCTACGGGTATCCAAACGTTTTGTCCCGCAAGGCGAAAAGAGACCTCCACGAAGTCATTCGGACTCATTGAGACCTTTATTAAGTCCAAAGGGTCCGATGAAACAAAAATATTTATCTATCCATTGAAATTCAAATATCGACCTAACGAACACATTGGCATAAACACATAGATTTTTTTTATTTATTTCAACATTATTATATGTATATTAGGATCTAAAGGGATTAACGTTAATGCGAAAAACGTAAGGGAAGTTACAAAAATGCTAATACGGAACTTATGTAAATAAAAAAAAACCATTCATTTTTTATCTATTACTCTTGAACGGTGCATCCAAGTCAAAAAGTCATTCTTTAAAAAATTAAATAATGTTAAATTTTGGGCCGAATTCGTATCAAAATTTAATAATTTTGGTACAGTGGTAAGATCGAAAACATTGGTCAAAGAAGGATAATTTTTGTCATCTTTGGCAAAAAAATAAAATATATTTCTATAAATGTTACTTCAGTTGTGAAATGTGCTTTCAAAGAGAAAAATTCAAGCGATAAAAGTTGATTACTAATTTTATTTTTTGTTTGATAGTTTATTGAATGATAATCTAATCTGCCTCATGAAGGGGAACAAGTATGAGGGCTACAAGAGTTCATTTATACAATATATACAAAAATAATGAAATAAATATAAATAATAAAAATGTGTATAAAAATAAATACAAGTAATCTTCTTATACACATTCATACATATGTACAATATGTACATTCGCCCATGGAACTCCGAGCCAAGTTTTGTCTTCCACATGTGGAAAACAGAGTAAGGATCAGAAGTTTCCAGTGCTTATTTTCCAGCCGCGTCACTGGTATAAGAAGCCAGTGGAAACTGAAAGAGAGCACTGGAGCCACAGACGCTCAGGACTTGAGTAGAGAACCCGACCATTGCCAGGACACCAAAAGCATATTTACAAATGATCTCTCGGCCACTGCCCCTTTAATCTTCGAGGAGAATTATGGGATGGTCGTAGCTGGATAAGGATTAAGCTGATGAATAAGATACTGGTGAAAGTTTGTATATCTGGATGGGATAACGTCAAAGATACATGGGATGTTAATTAAGGTCTTGTTTGTGGCATAATAAGGAGCATTGACTATTGTTCTGAGTACTTTGGAGTGGATACGTTTGGTTTTCGAAAATTTACCGGCCCCCCACAGTTAAATTCCATAAGTCCAGATAGGTTTCAGTACGGTCTTGTAGATTAATAATTTGTTTTCAGTTGTAGGATTAGATTTTATGTTCTAATGATTTACCAACTTTCATATTTTGTAAATAATTGTAAAACAATTACCATGTAATCAAAGAAACTTTCTCGGGCTGTAGTTGGATCTCTCTGGTCAAGGCAATACACGAAAGTAAATGAATGTTTTTTAGCATTCACAAAGTTTGTTATATTCCATTTTTTCGGGTCGCTGAACAAGAATCTGAGGTTCGCATACGGGTGATTTGGCCGAGCCATGTCTTATGTTTGTTTTGTTTTTTAAAAGATGTCAAGATATTGACACTTTCGAGATTTTTTCATCAGCATCTCGAAAATTATTGTTATGTTTTTTCGAGAAGATCATTGTTTACAAAATTAAACTGAAAAATATTATTTATATTTCATACATGTAAAGATTTCCTCTAGAAATAAACGAGTGAAAGCAAATTTTATTCTAGAATAGCTAGTTTCCTTAAAATGATACAAATGTTTTGAAGCATTTGTCTGGTGTCTGAACTATGAATAATAGAAAAAACTACATATAAACAATGGGCCAATTCCCAGCAGAAAGGTAGAAAATTCAAGTTAAGTGTTTTTTTTTTCAAGTAAGTCATGAATTGGAAGCGATAACTAAAGAAATATATAGTTTAAGTAATAAACAATTATTTTACTGTAAACTAGATAACATTTTTTGAGCAGATATACTTGGCTAAGTTCGGATTTTAAAGAAATCATAAATTATTGGCGATTTTATTTTATCATTATCCAACTGTACTACAGATACCTCATTTTTAGAAAAAGTTTTTCGTTTAATAAGCTTCAAGTCCGTATTAATTAAATTAAGATTTATTAGGTAAATTCTTGAGATTTACCTCAAGTTGTGTATAGAAATGTTATGCTTTTTCATCTTGTAGCCTAAAAGTACCCGTGTTTTTCAACAAAATTGACGACTATTAACTGTTGCAAAGCTTTTATTTCATGTCTTTCCATGATGTGGGATATATTATAATAAAAAGAATTTCCTTAATATAATTTTTATTTATAAATAAAAAAATATAATAATGATGATTTGTTAAATATTTTTCATGTAAAGTGTTTTTTCCCTCTACTTACGGGACACCCTGTATATAAATTCTAAGAACTGAATACAAAATTAGTATTAATCTTAACAATTATGGTACGAATGTGTTCATATATCACTATAATTATTGTCCACGTGACAGATCGTTATATTTCTAAATAAAAAAATCTTAACAATTAAATATTAAAAAAATAATCTCTTGACAATAGATTTTTTGTAATTTTTTGGTTAGCTTATCTCTTCAGCTATGACGAATGCCTGAATTGTCGGTACAAAATGAAATAAAAAATATTGAATATTTAATAGTTGACCGTTGCATTATAAAGGAGATGGTCCGGGGTGGCGGTCATAAATAGGCTAAATAGTGGTAAAACTATCATATTGAAAGCCGATATTTCGACCCGACTTAGCAAGTCTTCTTCAGGTAGGTGTGTTCAGCTAGGAGTTCCACTTAGAACTCAGTTTAGTTCAGTTCCAAGTGAAACTCCTCCCTGAAGAAGAAATGCAAAGTCGGGTCGAAACGTCGGCTTTCAATAAAATAGTTTTACTTACCACTATTTAGCCTATTTATGAACGCCACCCCAGACCATCTTCCTAAATAAAAAATATTTATTTTTATTTGTATTTCTCATTGACTGAGAACTCCAACTAACTTCTTTTTATCTCCTAATAACATACAACACAGATTTACATTAATGCTCATCGCCATAAAAATGTGTTACATAATACAGTAAAAATTATAAAAAATAAATGAAAAAACGTAGAACAATAAAAAATATATAAAATTCTATATGATAAGCATATATATAAGCACATATGGTGTGGCGGATTGATAACTTGAATAACTTTGATAATTGATTTAAAACTTTGCAAGCCTGATAATTTTAATTAGGATAAATATAAATTGGTGTTGATATCAACTTTCTTTGTAAATATTGTGTTTATTTACATTTTACATTCATTATTATACTTTCTTTTACCAAATAAAAATAGTTGCTAATCTCATTGACTATGATCGAAAATTGATTTTAAACTGTTAAAATAATTTTGGAAATAACAAATATGTTTTTTTTTAAAATGCTGGTGACTATGATACCATTTCCTGATAAAAAAGGGAAGAAAAAAATTTAAAACGAATCCTGGCAACCACGCTGGATAATGGATGGTTGAGTGGACTGGAGGATAAACTGGAGGCCGCTACGTACTGGTATAGTGATCTATGGACCCCCCAGGAAGCACTCGATATCCCCCGCACGAATATGTTTCGGCCTGGGCGAGACAACTAGTGCTGAGTGGT